TGTCGGGTGGAGGGGGAAAATCAGGAGCTGGGCCCTTTCCAAGCCCCGCTGGAAGGTGGTGACCAGCCTGGGGAGCCAGCTGAGCCTCTTCCCATCCTCATCCCCCAAAAAAAGAGCAGCCAGGGGAGGGGGAAGAACCCCCCCGAGAGCCCCAGAAATCCCCAAAATTCCCTGGAAGGATTAAAAGCATCCCGCACCTTCCAGGGCATCCCGATGATGCCAGCTTTAGGAGAGGACAAACACTCGGATTTGTGGAGGTAGCAGATGGCTCTGCCTCTCCCCGGCTGCGTTTCCTCTCTCATTTCCCCCCAAAATATCCCAAATTTCTGGTGTCTGGATGAAAATTGAGGCAGGAACTCGGGAGTCTGGCCGGGGCAGGAAACTTTGTGAACTTTGTTGTTCGCTCCCAGGCTCGGCCGGCGCTGGCACCGGGACGAGGGGAAATTAAAGCTCGGCTGCTTTGGGGGCTGCGAAAAAACCTCGAAAAAAGGAAAATTCTCAAAAAAATAATTAAAATTTTATCCCGGGTGGCTCAGGGTTCTACCTCTGGTGGGGCAGCTCTTGATCTGCGCGACAAAAAGGCAAAAAAACCCCAAATTAAAGCCTCTTCAAACCCCTCTGAACTGACCCAAATCTGCGGTTTTTTTTGGCAGGAACGGACAGAAAACGCGGCCGCCAGACCTACACCAGGTACCAAACCCTGGAGCTGGAGAAGGAATTCCACTACAACCGCTACCTGACCCGGAGGAGACGCATCGAGATCGCCCACGCGCTCTGCCTGACCGAGAGGCAAATCAAAATCTGGTTCCAGAACCGCCGCATGAAGTGGAAAAAGGAAAATAAAACCTCCTGCCCCGGCTCCAGCGGGCAGGAGAAAGCGGACGCCGAGGAGGATGAGGAGGAGTGAAAAAGGAAAAGAGAAGGAAAAAAAAAAAAAAAAAATGGGAAAAGAGAGAAGGAAAATGGGCGGGGAGGAGAAAAAAACAAGCGTTAAAAAAATGGGGGGGAAAAAATAAATAAATTAAAAAAAAAAGACTATATATAAAAATAAATGATAAGCGCGTAAATAATTAAACCCCTAGGAGTGATGCGTTGTGTTTGATGACACTGAGGAAAAAAAAAATACTACCTATATTAAAATCTCTTTTTTTGTTGTTGTTTTTTGGTTGGTTTTTTTTGTACGATAGAATATCTACCTATTAAATGTGGCTTTAGACTCGGGATAGACACATTTTATTTCCCTACGTGAGCCTTCCTCTAGCACCAGTAATTTGTAAAATCTCCGTTTGTACTTCGCTGTGTACTCTATTTCTATTTTTTTTTTTTTTGGGGGGGGGGGGAATATTTTTTTTTTT